TATTTTAAGAAATACATAGAAATTGAAATGGAAAGTATTAAATGTGAAAAGAAAATGAATTTTTTCAATTTTGAAATTAATGGTCATTGATTAATAAGCGTTTGATTGGATTATTGGAACTCGAGCTAATTGTTGGTTTAAAAATCTGTCAAAAATAACATAGAAATTGAAATGGAAAGTATTGAATGTGAAAAGGAAATGAATCGCTTCTAACTTTTTCAATTTTAAAATTAATGGTCATTGATTAATAAGCGTTTTATTATACCTCGTTTATAAAATTGCGTTGGATTGTTTGGTAACCATAATGTTCTTCGATCAATGCTCGGACTGTTATCGTGACAGAAAGGTCATAAAATATGCGTAGCCTCCGCGAATAGTCGTCAACGAATTAATACGATTAAGGAGCGCCTATCCCACGTAATGGCATAACCTCAAAATAAACCGATTAAACCGTTTACCGGTGGTGATGGGCACGGTATAAAATAAGAATGGAAAATCGAACTCGTTTCTGAAAATAGACGATATTGTTCTCGGTTCTAAAAATAGACGATATTGTTCTTAGTTCCAATTTTACCTCGTACGTGTAACTTGATCACTACTCGCTCTCAATGACGTTGGACGTACGTTCGAAACCCACGCATAATTTGCAATAAACAATTCTCGAATCGTTAAAATCGAGTTTTTGTCATTTTTGGCTAACAAACACTCGATTAAAATGTAATTAATAATATTTGAAATACACAGAGACACGTTGGATATACAGGGTGTTCGGCCACCTCTAGCAAAAATTTTAATGAGCGATAGTGGAGGCCAAGATAAGACGAAAATCAAGAATACCAATTTGTTGATGGAAGCTTCGTTGAAAAGTTATTAACGTTTAAAGTGCCGCGCTTACTGAATTTTTTTCTCGAAAATGCGCAAGATTTCGGGGGTATGTCTATTCACCAAAAATGACTGTAATCGAACCCTACAACCGAAAATAATTTTTTCCACAACGATTTGCAATTTTTTAATTTTCTCGAACAATCTCACACCTTCTCTATTTTTTTTCGCGAAAGTGGGCAGGAATTCGTGGGTGTGTCTAATGACAAAAACTGATTGTAATTGACCCCCGCGACCGAAAATAATTTTTCCACAACCGATTTGCAATTTTTTTTCTCCGTTGAAAAATTTAGGCACCTAATTGGATTTTCAGCAAGGAATTTTTTTCTCGAAAGCGCGTACGATTTCGAAGGTATGTGTAATGATAAAAAAAATGATTGTAATTGATCCCCGCGACCGAAAATAATTTTTTTAGAACGATTTGAAAAATTTTTTTTCGCCGCAAAAATTTCACAACCTACTCGATTTTTTTTCTCGAAAGTAGATAGGATTTCGGAGGTATGTGTGCTCACCAAAAATGATTGTAGTTGACCCCCGCAACCGAAAATAATTTTTCTAGAATTATTTGAAATTTTTCAATTTTGTCGAAAAATTTCACATATTCTCGAATTTTTTTCTGGAAAATGGGTTCGAATTCGGGGGTATGTCTATTCACCAAAAATTATTGTAATTAAACCCCGCAACCGAAAATAATTTTTCTAGATCGATTTGGAAAATTTTAATTTTGTCGAAAAATGTCATACCTTCTCGAATTTTTTTGTCGATTATGCGTAGGATTTCGGGGGTATGTCTATTCACTAAAAATTATTGTAATTGACCCCCGCAACCGAAAATAATTTTTCTAGATCGATTTGGAAAATTTTAATTTTGTCGAAAAATGTCATACATTCTCGAATTTTTTTCTCGATCATGCGTAGGAATTCGGGGGGTATGTCTATTCACCAAAAATTATTGTAATTGACCCCTGTAACTAAAAATATTTTTTTCAGAATGATTTGAAATTTTTTAGTTTTGTCGAAAAATTTCACACTTTCTCGAATTTTTTTTTCGAAAGTTGGTAAGAATTCGAGGGTGTGTCTAATGACCAAAAATGACTATAAGCGACTACTGTAATCGAAAATAATTTTTCTAGAGTGATTTTAACTTTTCAATTTCACCGAAAAATTTAGACTGTCGATTTTTCTTAAAAATTGGTTTTTGATTTTTAGTAATTTTGTTTGACGCCCTACGGAAATTTTGACTAATACTTTTTTATAGGTACCTATGGGCTTAACTTCAGAAAAAAGTTTTATCAATATATATTCACTATTCTAGGAGTTATGGCTGTTAGAAAATTGGACCATTTTTATGAGGGTTTTTCTAATTTTACGAGGTCAAAGAACAACTTTCTCAATATTGTTAGAATTTGTACATATTCTTCACTAAAATACACGTTGTTTGCCGTTTGAAACATTAAAATCGTCCAATCCGTTCAGGAGTTATGATTTTCTAAAGATTCGCCTAAGTGACATTCCTGGCCATAGAATATATTTTCAGTAAGGAATTTTTTTCTCGAATATGGTTAGGATTTCGAGGATATGTATATTGACCAAAAATGATTGTAGTTGGCCCCCGCGACCGAAAATAATTTTTCCAGAACGATTTGAAATTTTTGAATTTAATTGTTAATAACTTTTTAACGAAGCTTCCATCAACAAATTAGTATTCTTGATTTTCGTCTTATTTTCGCCTCTACTATCGCTCATTAAAATTTTTGCTAGAGGTGGCCGAACACCCTGTATAAAAATTGTCTAAAAAGGGACTTTTTTTAATTTCATATGGACAAGATTAACTGAAATGAATTTTTGGTTATCTAATATATGTTACATATTTTAATTTGTGTAATATCTAATCTATTTTATTATTGTATTCTTTTATTTCTTTCCTATTTTTATCAAATCTATTTTAGGTTACATTCAGAGTAATTAAATTCAGATGTCTAAATAAATGTGGAAAATTTAATGAATTTTTTGGTCAACTCAACATAATTATTCAGTTAAACCGCCATATGTCAACACACATTTTTTGTTATCCTAGTAAAATTAATTTTCCCAGACATTTACCAGGAATGAGAGAAGGAAATAAACGAGATTTCATTTTGTAAATCAGTAATAAACTAAGAAACTAAGAAACTAGGAAACTAGGAAACTAGGAAACTAAGAAACTAAGAAACTAGGAAACTAGGAAACTAAGAAACTAGGAAACTAAGAAACTAAGAAACTAGGAAACTAAGAAACAAATAAACTAACAAACTAACAAACTAACAAACTAACAAACTAACAAACTAACAAACTAACAAACTAACAAACTAACAAACTAACAAACTAACAAACTAACAAACTAACAAACTAACAAACTAACAAACTAACAAACTAACAAACTAACAAACTAAGTCTTCTACATCCTCAAAAAAAAAAAGTTGACGTTTCAATGTAACGTGGAGAAATTTAAGCCATTTTGAAATTTTAACATCGATGATTGAAATCAAGCTATTAAAATAATCTTCTTTCGAGTTCATTTTTCACTTAAAACTTAAAACTAGCCGTACAATGGAAAGCGTATTAACTGCTTTTGTAACACTCGTTTGTGTATTATAAAATTGAGAGAAAATTGTTGGAAACCTTTTGGAAACTCACAACATTTCACTTTTGTCAGAAACTTTATCGTCACTGAATAGCAATTTTATTAATGTGAAGTATACAATTTACTAAAAAAAAAAAAAAGAAATAGAAAATAAATTGTCTTCACTGAACTGTTAATAATCATAGTAATGCAATGGATGGCAATTTTATTAATATATAAAGTATACATTTACTAAAAAGAATAGAAAATAAACTGTCTTCATTGAACTGTTAATAATCACACTAATGAAATAAATTGAAATTGAAATTTCTATAAAAAAAAGCTCTTTCATAAACAATAAAAACTGAAACTTTACAGTCGCCTAAGCAAGCATTAATTTATTTATATTTTTCGACCGTTAGATTTGAGTTTTGCATTGAATTTAATTAATTTGCATTGAAAAGTTCCATCTTTAAGCTCTTTTATAGCTATATTTTACACCGCCATTTTTTCATCCTTTTGCTCATAATAAATCGTATTATAAAAACTAATTTTAATTTTCAAAAAACTACAATGTGCATTTAATATGCAAAAATATAACAAAAACTCAAGATAAGAATATTATTGTATTTAGGGGTTGAAAGAACCCTCTATGAAGCTCTCATTTTATTAATTTCATTAATAAATATATAAATTTGCATAAAAATCCAAAAATCTACTTATAATAATTCTATCTCTCTCTATGAGTATGAAGCAACAAATTACAAATGGCAAATGAGTTTATAAATATTCACAATTATATTTACCTAATTCTCTGATATCGAAACAACAGCTCAAAAGTTCAAAAATATAAACAGAAATTTTTTTTTATTTGTAGGTTCTAAGTTAGGTCTGAAGCAACAAAGTACAAATGGCAAATGAGTTTATAAATATTCACAATCATATATATAGCTAAAAAGTTCAAAAATATAAACAGAAATTTTTTTTTATTTGTAGGTTCTAAGTTAGGTCTGAAGCAACAAAGTACAAATGGCAAATGAGTTTATAAATATTCAAAATCATATTCACTTGTTCCTCTGATATCGGATCAATAGCTCAAAATTTCACAATTCATCAAAAATTACTCGAATCCAAATACATAAATCGAAACACATAAACAAATTAATACTACATTCTGGGGTTAAAAACCTCCATCTTCAAACTCCCAAATCGCAACATTCTACACCACCATTGTTTCGTCCTTTGCTCGGTAATAAATCATAATCCAACAAAGAATCATAATCCAACATAATCTCCCCAAAAGAAAAAAAAGAAAATTCGAAACAAATTAATACTACATTCTGGGGTTAAAAAGTTCCATCTTAAAGCTCCCCAATCGCTACATTCTACGCCACCTCATACATCCTCATTTGTAATAAATCCCCCCAATAATTCCCCGCATAATTCCCCCCCAAAGAAAGAAAAAAAAATTTTAAAACAATATTTACCCTAATATAGACACAAAGTATAGTACTCACCATCGTCGAAATAGGGGCTACCGAGGGTCATGTCGGCGAGAAAGGCCAGGAAGCATAGCAACCACACTAAGCAGAACTTCATGGCTCCTCGTCGTTCGATTCCTCTTTCCCTCGTTTCCCTCTCACACGGTTACCAAAATGGAGACCCAAGGACTACCGACGGTTTCCGGGGGGATGTAACGCGTAACGGGTCCTCGTGGATGCTAGCGTGCCCTCTCCTGACCGTGGCCGGGATGCAAGTGAGGTCTCCACAACGTCCCGATGGCTTATATAGACGCGCGAGGGAGGCGTGGCGTTTGCGACTCGCCCCCACAAGGATCTCGGTTGCGTAGGGTGAGACGATTCCGGGGGGATAAGACTTCGGTTCCACGGTCGTACGCGGTGTCTGGACACCGTCACAGTGGTTTCACGGGGCCATCCGGAGACGAGTGGGTGAGGGGGAGGGAGATTCTTTGCTGAAAGTACGCGAGGGGTGGCCGCCACCCTTTGGCACGAGCAACTGGTTGCGAAGCAACTGGTACCCCCCGGCTGTTCCTTTCGCGATTATGTGGCCCGTAATGCGATCCACGTCTCCGCGACGTTCGCGTCGCTGTTCCTTTCGAATCATTCACGAGCATTGAAAAACAACGTATCGCCTTTTTTATACCTATTTTCTTTCTAACCTTTAACGATATAACAGAGAATTTTTATGGCGTTTGCGTGAATGTTATTACGAATTACGGTGGAATATAAACTTAACCAAATTTTTCGTTTGATATTTACGCGATTTGAACAAATTCAATATTCGGGGAAAAAAACTAGAAAATTGACAGAGTCTCTTGGAATAATTTTTATTATTGTATCTACTATGACATTTTTAGGGTAAAATTTTTCCCTAGAAAATGAATTTTAGAAAGTTTCTTGTTTTATGATTTGAAACTTCAAAAAACAGTTGTTTATAAGTTACATTTACTTATCTTGAACAATTTCTTTTACTAATCGTATTAACACTTTACCGACCGGTAGCGGTTGATTAATCGGCGATCGGTCGGTAAAACAGTTGATTAATAGGCTATCGGTCGGTAAAGTGTTAAACACAGTTTTCAAAACTTTGTTGCAATTTATATTCGCGAAACTTCGAAATTTGATCACCAAAAAATAAAGCAATTTGACTAAAATAAAATTTTTAAACAAACAAAAGAACTTAACAACAGCATTACCATTAGAGAAATATAATTAAAACTGTTTCTGATTGTAATAAAGAAAATAATATTAGAAAAGTGCGTAAATAATAATAATTGAAAAGTACGAGGCTATTTTGTAATTTTTTTGAGAATTAAAATTTCTCACAAATGCATAAACAGTCTACTTCTAACTCTGTTATTTCATTTTTCAAGAATTGTTTCATTATTCTGTTTCAAAAAAATGTTGAATAAATCTAAAAAATAACAGTTTCAAAATCTTACAATAATGTCACTGTAACAAACATATTATAATTCGAAAAAATGGATAAAAATAAATTATCGTGTTACAAATACATTTAATTAATAATTCAACTTCTGATGGACTTGCAAACAACTGCTTTTTAACTGTATTTAAATTTAAGATATTTTAATAAATCGTTATTTATTAAAACATCATACAATTGAAATTATTTGAACAATATTGTGCGCATGTAACAAAATGCATTGAAAATATTTAATTTCATTCGTCTGGTTCCGTTCCAAAAAGGTAAAATTGCTCAGACGACACTATCACGTATCATACTACTGTGTTTGCATTTCTCTTTCCCGTCCGTTTAGTTTGTATACCTGTTTAGTTTACACATCTGGTCATTTCTAATTAACCCCCGGAAGTTATTTACGCAACATGTGTGCACACACGCTCGACATAAACTTCACGTTCATCGTTGATATCATGCTTCTCATTCATTAGTTTCTCGAATTTATTTCGCCACTAGATCTTGTGCAAAAGCAATTGATGACCAGACGATCGTCCTGACATATATATCCGCGATAATGCAATTCTCTCGCGAGAAAGCGCTCGAGAAGCTACGCCACCTGGCGGTAGCATCGCAGTACTTCTACGGGCGAGGTAAAATTGATTTTCTTTAACATTTCAACTTGAGAATTCATTGTTTTAGTTCCACTGTTAAAAGTTCTGTCACCCATATATATATAAAAGAATAAAATAACCCAGACCTAACCCAGACTTAATTCAGACTTATTCCAGACCTAACCCAGACCTAACCCAGACTTAATTCAGACCTAACCCAGACCTAACCCAGACTTAGTTCAGACCTAACCCAGACCTAACCCAGACTTAATTCAGACCTAACCCAGACCTAACCCAGACATAATCCAGACCTAACCCAGACCTAACCCAGACATAATCCAGACCTAACCCAGACCTAACCCAGACATAATCCAGACCTAACCCAGACCTAACCCAGACTTAGTTCAGACCTAACCCAGACCTAACCCAGACTTAATTCAGACTTATTCCAGACCTAACCCAGACTTAATTCAGACCTAACCCAGACCTAACCCAGACCTAATTCAGACCTAACCCAGACCTAACCCAGACCTAACCCAACCTAACAAACCTAGGTTTGGGTTAGGTCTGGGTTAGATCTGGGTTAGGTCTGGGTTAGGTCTGGATTAAGTCTGGGTTAGGTCTGGGTTAGGTCTGGATTAGATCTGGATTAGATCTGGGTTAGGTCTGGATTAGATCTGGATTAGATCTGGGTTAGGTCTGGATTAGATCTGGATTAGATCTGGGTTAGGTCTGGATTAGATCTGGATTAGATCTGGGTTAGGTCTGGATTAGATCTGGATTAGATCTGGGTTAGGTCTGGATTAGATCTGGGTTAGGTCTGGGTTAGGTCTCATTTACACTGTTGTTGTATTTTGTAATTTCCAAGTGTATGATATCTGTTTGGTTTGGACTTGAAAGAATGTCGAGTGAGACTTGACGAAGGTGCTCCTGAGATGAAATTGATGTCGAATCACACTCGACATAGGAGTGCAAAGGGTTAAGATAATTTGGATTATTAACTAATCCAGACCTAACCCAGACCTAAACCAGACCTAACCCAGATCTAATTCAGATCTAATCCAGACCTAACCCAGAGCTAACTCAGATCTAATCCAGACCTAACCTAGACCTAACTCAGATCTAATACAGACCTAACCCAGACCTAACCCAGACTTAATTCAGACTTATTCCAGACCTAACCCAGACTTAATTCAGACCTAACCCAGACCTAACCCAGACTTATTCCAGACCTAATCCAGACCTAACCCAGACCTAACCCAGACTTAATTCAGACTTATTCCAGACCTAACCCAGACTTAATTCAGACTTATTCCAGACCTAACCCAAACCTAACCCAGCCCTTTTCTTTTCGACGATTAATCGACGATTAAGTTAATCGACGTTAAATTTCCATAGCTTCTCGAATAGATTAATATAGGTTTTGAAATTAAATTTAGTATCACATCCTCATATTGGCGGATATTTTGCTTGCATTTCCGCATAACTTTTCGAAAATTTTCGCCCGGGTTGCTATTCTACGGAAATATATTTGCAAACGACGCAAATATTTCGCTAAATCGGAAGAAATTAACGAGAAAATGATAACGACACGTGTCCAAGTAAAATAATGTGAAAAGTCTCGTTTACGTGGTAGAGGGAAATTTTGAAACGTTATTCAATATTTAGATAGATCAATATTTCTCAGAACAATTTAGATAATCCTGTTGTACCATCTTATCGACAATGATTACAATCTGATCAATGTTTCACGATTATTACCCTTTTAGTTACGTTTGCGTCGATAAATGGAAAATAAACAAATTAAGAAAATGTAGGAAAGTTAATCTTTACAATTACTGTACAATTATTCACCCATAACTAAGACTTTGCGTAGAATTGAATGTTACCAGAGTCATTATTGAAAAAACTGAAACGTTCGATTCTTCGAGTGGACCTGAAAGAAAGAAATACGTCACTACGTATCGTTCTAGAAAAAAAAGAGGAGCACAAAACTATCCAAATTACGTTTTCCCAATAACAAGCTTTGGGATCGAACAACGACGAATACTAGCTTCGCCATAATTTGTCAATGTTAAAGCAAACATATGTAACTACTAGCATGCCCCGTCTCGGCTTCGCCCGACCTTGTGCAACAGCAATTTATGACCAGTCGATCGTCCTGACATATATATCCGCGATAATGCAATTCTCTCGCGAGAAAGCGCTCGAGAAGCTTCGCCACCTGGCGGTGACATCGCGGTACTGCTACTGGCGAGGTATCGCGCGGGCCGAATACGCGTATGCGCGCGCAAGTAGACTGCCGTATACAGGGGTCGCGTGGTCCGCCAAACGGTCGTGCACATGAAATCTTTGCACATAAATTACATGTTAATAACGCGCTTCCGAGACATGCTGCATAGCCTATGTCCGTCCTAGAGTATGCAGGAATAACGTGTCAAAATTTGAGGAAGATCGGTTCAATAGGTCTCGAGTTTTGCGCGAACATAAAAATCGGCTCTCTCTTTATATAATAGTATAGATTCAGACGATCGCTAATCTGTTCTTTTGTTTTGATAACTTAATATAAAAAAAGAGGACCGATATTTCGCGGTTAATAATTATCCAATGACGAATTATTTTCATGAAACTTTGCACCACCTGTTAAATATCGCGTTTTTATAATAAGCACACCTTGAGAGAAGCTTTTGATTATTCATACCTGAACTTTTCAATAATTCATCAACCGTGAATTTCTTCGCGATCTGAAACTCGAAAGTTGCTCGTCGCGATTAAAATTCAAGACCAAGGATAGTGCAATAGATCCAAGAAGATCGTAAGCAACTAAGTTGTCGAAGAAATTATCGAAAAGGTTAATATATTCCAATCGATCGAGAATGTACTCGATGAAAGTTATTTTTCAGAGGAGATATTTAAATTTAAAATAATAAAGTTTCTTTTAATTTTTTAGAAATTGTACTTTTGCTGTAGAAATTAGTATAAGCGTGGGTATCGTGCATTTTATGGCTGAAATTCGTGACATTATATTTACTATTATTTATATTGCCAGAAATGCAGATATGCGAATCTTTAAAATGCCATAACTCCTGAACGGATTGGACGATTTTAATGTTTCAAACGGCAAACAACGTGTATTTTAGTGAAGAATATGTAAAAATTTTAACAATATTGAGAAAGTTGTTCTTTGACCTCGTAAAATTAGAAAAACCCTCATAAAAATGGTCCAATTTTCTAACAGCCATAACTCCTAGAATAGTGAATATATATTGATAAAACTTTTTTCTGAAGTTAAGCCCATAGGTACCTATAAAAAAGTATTAGTCAAAATTTCCGTAGGGCGTCAAACAAAATTACTAAAAATCAAAAACCAATTTTTAAGAAAAATCGACAGTCTAAATTTTTCGGTGAAATTGAAAAGTTAAAATCACTCTAGAAAAATTATTTTCGATTACAGTAGTCGCTTATAGTCATTTTTGGTCATTAGACACACCCTCGAATTCTTACCAACTTTCGAAAAAAAAATTCGAGAAAGTGTGAAATTTTTCGACAAAACTAAAAA